TTGGGGGAAAAACACTGTGACTATAGGAGCTTATTTTTCTTGTTTGCTAAATAACTTAAGGATTTTTTTCCCCAAGGCTTAATTGCTCAGAGAAAAATCTTTACCCTTCCTACCCTAAGATGAAACATATTTCAGCTTCCTTAATAACCCATATAATTTGTAATGGGAGAATGAATAGATTATATTGATATTCTATTAAATTATAATCCAGAAACAGCTGAATACTCTTAGCGGGTTTTCCGACATTACATGAAAGGAAAAAGACAAGTGGAGCTTGCATGGGAAATTTTTTATCAAAGTAGATAAACTCAGATGCCAGTGATAAGTATTTTCACTGGTCTCATGGCTGCCAGTCCCATTCCACATCACATCTTCTAGAGTGACTTCAGATTGCTGAATTTCATTCAGAGTGCCAAGAGTGAAAATATTCACATGCTGCAAATCAGTATTACAAAACCAAAATTCTAATTGAGACATAACTATTTTGCACATTTATATATTCTCAAAATTGTGTATAGCAAGTATTTGTGAGATTTAGTCTGTTGAGACCTCCTAATACCTTCAGAAGAAAGGTGTTTCTGCAGAAAGATGAATATATAATACAAATCGCACTTAGAACCATCAGTGACACTTTCAGAAGCATCCTATCCTTTCCATCACCCAGTCTCTTTTCTTTGAAACATCCACTGCAAAATGTAGTCTTATGAAAATGCAGTATAATTACAGAGATATCTTTGGGAACATAACATCCCTTCTGATGATAAATGTTTGACCTATTGCAAGTTTCTCTAACTACCTGTCATCTCATGTGAAGATCATTTATGGTATTAACTGGACCTATGGGGATCTCTGAGGTATTATTATTATTATTATTTGCTTTGTTTTTACTAACTGGTGATTTAAAGGATAGGACATACCAGTAAAGTAGCATTATCTTTATGTGTGAAAATATGCCAAGTAGGCATTTCTTAAATTTTTGTACTTGAGACTGTAGAACCGTAGATTCTATTTTAGAAGCATTGGGGACCTTATAGCTCATCTCCAAACTCTGTTCAATATAGAGAGGAAACTGTGGTCTACCAAGGTTAAGTGACATGCTCAAGGTAACACAACCAGTTATGTCAAGGCTCATAATCAGGTCTTTATAAAAGGTGATAAACTAAATTATGTTAGTGGCACATTAAACATCTGACAACATTCCTAAGCAGGAAATATGTCCTTATATTTAACATAAATTATTTACTTCCTCTTGTTAGATACTTGGAAGAGATGGAGCGGGTGCTTGTAATTCTAGTTCTCTTATTCGTAATTTCTCATTATTTAATTATCTTTTTTCCTAATCTTCTGCAGGAATGCCTTGCATACTGGGGATCACATTTGCTGCTTTTGTCTTTGTTTTAACTACAGCAGTACATTTCTAAAAGATTCTGTGTATATTGTTCCCAGGACCAGCTACATAACTGTGGGTCCTTCATTGTAAAATTGTTAAGAATTTCAGGATGGCAACAACAGAGCATTAAACTAACTATAGTGCCCTGCATGACTACGCAGGTTGCATGCTCATGAAGCCAGCCCTGGTTGTTCTAGATGTTTTGTCTGAAACTTTCTTCATTAAAGAATAACATACCAAAAAATATTTTCAAATACCATGGAAATTAATGTTTTTAAGCAAAACAATAATAAAAATTTTCATTTTTTGTCTCTGGATGAGTTTATTATAGGTAATATCATTGAAGCTTTTCTCAAAATTTCTTGAGGAGGAATGTTAGAATTGCAAAACTTAGAAATAAGAAATGTGTATGTTACTTAGAAGTTTCCATTTGGAGTGATGGTCTAGAGTACAGGAACCAAGTGATCTAGTTCAGTCCAAAAACTGGTCCTTAAATATTGAGTTGTCCACTATATAATTGGATTTGATCTTGGTATTTAATTTGGAGGAGGATGTTAGATGATTTTTTTTTTAAAAAGGTGTGACTATTTTCTGGCATCTTCAAATGGAAGCAACTTGCCTTAGCTGTCCTCTTTTATATTAATACGTACGTATATACATCGCTTAAGTGACAGTGTGACTGTATTTTACCAGGTATGCTGAATTTCACCTAAGAGAAGTGCTGGTAATCTTTTTACACATAAGTGAGAATATAATATATTCTGATGTTTTATATGTACATTGACTAGTTATTTGATACATCTGTTTCTTGAATAATGTTCAGTGTTTACTTGAATGATGTTGATGGAGATAGTAAATAGGTTTTTAAAGTAAACAGTATTTGAAGCTTTGCATAGTGAAAAGACTAGCCTATTTTTTAAAAAAGACTAAAAGTTAATGCTAAGTGATCAGGTATACCTGAGTACCAATTTCTGCCTCTCTGTAAATTTTTATATATTTTATTTTCAGGTTAAAAAAACTTGAAGTTCTATTTCATAACGTAAATATAGTAAAGTGCCATATTGTACAATCTTCCTTTTCACATAAATGTTTATTGATACTAACCTTTAAAAAATTTGGCTACATTATTTCTTGCTTTATTAAAAACTTACCACATGACAAATATATGTGCATTTTTCATTTATGTTGGCATTAGATTTTTTTTCTAATCTAGTGCTAAATAGTTATATAGGGCTGTCTTTTTTAGAGAAAAGTAGGATTTTTGAACAGTAATGCTATTTGACTAAAGAATTAACAGATATGTGTATATTACAATAAATTTCAAGAAAAGATTATTTTTTTAACACTTTGGCATTATGGAAGTTTCTGCCCTGTAATGCTAATATAAATTTAACCAGTAGTAGAAAGGATTCAAATTTTCATTGCCTTTTTTCTGTTCATCCTCTTTTTAAGAGATGGCCAACAGTGCCACCATCAGAACAGACAGGCTTTTCTCATCATAAGTATTGGTTTTGTTAAACAAAACAAAACAAAACAAAAAAAACAAACCCTACACGTAAGAAGTGGTGGAAAACTGCATGTGGTGAAACAGATAAAACATATTGTGAGATACCAGTGACATAATGAAACTGCCTCTAATTTCTTTTATGAGCAAATCAAATTCATAAAATTATTCTTCAGAAACCTGTTACTAATTTGGACACTTATGTTTTTGCCAGGTCATTCTGTCTAGGTAGCATTATATTGATGTCAATTTATTGTCTTCATCTTCAATTTGTTGTTCAAAGAGACATTCTCAAAGAATATAAAAACGTGAAAATGATCAGACCGTCTTGGTCTGGTAACATTTTCCCTAATGTGCATTTTGAGGGCCAGTTTTTTCATTTGCCTTTTTCCTATATATATGATTTATTTTTTAAATAATGAGACTTTAAAAAGTAAGCAGCCAAATTAATTATGATTATGATGATTCCAGAATCTATATTAAAGCATAAAATTTTCCTTTCATGGTCTGATGCTTACATGATGCAGTGTATTTATTTTTGAATGAAAAGAAACCTGGTCCCCATCTTCCTGTTGACATCAAACAGTCTTCTGATATGCTAATCTAGTGTCAGGGAGAGCACATAGACAGGCTTTATTTGGACTCATTCCAAATCTGTAAGAAAATTATGTGTATAGAACTGATGTTACAGCACGGCCCCCTTAGAATGAAAAGTGATGTTGACACAGTCTGCAATTAAAAATACTTAATATTGAAACATGATATGGGAGGTTTTCAGCATTTTAGTAATACCCCCATTTGCGTTTTAATTACCTGGTCATCTAATTGTTATTTGCTTTTTGCTACTGATGTTAATAGCCATTGAAATTACTAAGTTCATTTCTATAGTATGTGTTATAATAAACAACCTAAAGTTATTGGCTTTTCCTTAAAGATTTATCCTTTTGGTATATTGAATACATATGAGACAGTGGATATAATCTTATGCTAAGTATGAAGTAGGGATATCATCAGATTTCCCTGTGTTATTTTTCCTTTCAACTGGTCACAGGGGTAAAAAATTGACAGAGAAACTTGTTTTGGAGTCATCCAAATTACAGTTTCTCCATTTTCAATAACAAATCAAATCAGTTAACTTACAAAAACATTTCCAGAAAAAAAATGCACTACAGTACACATTTAAATGTTGACATCTGTTAATAACTATTTGTATATTTAAGAAGTTAAAATTATCAGAAAATGTCATAAAAACTTGTTTAAGTGTAGTATTTCATGTTGGTCACTTATAAATATTGTTAAATAGGAAACCAATTGCAGTTTTAGAAAAATAATTTTTATATAATTGTTACAAATTTTAGGAAACTAAGAACTTTGTTCTTGAAGGAAATATATTCTCCTAGCAAATGTAATATAGGAAAATAGGCATAAATATATACCTCTGGTTTTGCAGTTCCTTTGGTGATTGCTGTCTTACGCATGATGGCCCACTCTTTCCCAACTCGTTTGTTGGTGCTCAGCTCTTTGCCCAGACCTTCCTATAATGTTTTTCTTCCATGAAGTTTGGATTCATCCATTCAAAGTACAGGTTTCTTATAATGTGCAATGGAAATATTCATGAAAACTTTTTACATAAATCTCTTTTATTAAATTTTTAATAAATTAACTGATATTTCAAATCACCAGGGTAGTTCAATATTTAAAAGGAATTCTATAGTGAAACCTTTCAGGAGAAGAATTGTCTTTTAATGAACATAATTACCTTCAGGTTTCCAGACTATTTTATCCTGGGTTTCCTTAAAATGAAATTTGACATCATTCTTTTAGGATAGGAAATTATTTTACATAGATGTTAATTTTTTGAAATATTGGACATCACAAAGATGTAGAATTATATGGTGTGTGCTAACAGATATAATAGTGAGAAATTTAAGCTAATATGTCAGGTAAAATTCTTGGAATCATTCACTGTGGAAAATCATGTGCTTTTTAGTTGGCAATAGATAGATAAAAGTAAATGTTTTTCTGACTTAAGGCATTTTGCATGTCAGAATCTAATCTTAAGATATTTTAATTCCTAATAATTCCTATTTTTAATTTTTTAAAAAGCATTTTAAGAAACAAAAGAGGCTAATTCCTGAAAGGACTGTTTGGAAGTACTTTGTTCAACTCTGCAGTGCGTTGGAACACATGCATTCTCGACGAGTCATGCATAGAGGTAGGATAAAAATCACAAATAATTTCTAATGTTTTGAATGATGCAGGTTATTAGGCAATTTAAGAATAAATACTTTCCAGTTATGGCATATATCATGCATTCTCAGCTAATTTATTTCCAAATTATCATTTACTAGGATGAAAACCCTTAAGTAAAGCCCTACTTGTTTTAAATAAGAATGAGAATTATTGTTCTGCTTGCCTCTTCTGAGCATCTTACTGATTATGTTGGTAACTTAAAAAAAGAAAAGGGGCAGGAAAGCAATTGAATGTGCGTAAGGAAGATCCCTTTTTCAAAGGAACAGTGTATATTAGGGCCACTTTGTTTCTTAATTTTTAACATTAGCTCTTAATATATTCTTGATTGTCAATCAAATAGTTGGGCAGAGCATGCAAAGATGACATCACTTAGGAATTGATCCTCTGATTTTGGGGTGTGAAAAATTTCAATACAGTTTATTTAAGCAATTATGATTTCTAAGGTCATCAAAATAAATAATTATGTTCATAATAGAGTTATGATTTTATATTTTTATATAAATGTATCAATAAATGAATGTTTAATAAGATTTAATGTTGATATAAAACGGGAATAAATTTATTTTGTGCTTTGAATTTCACAAAAGTTTATTTGAAAATGCATTTTAAATGAAAATTAATAGCAATCTCCATCATGCTGCATTGATTATTTCTCTAGCAGAGGACTGAGAACTCAGAAATAATGAGGATAATATATCAAAATTATTCAAAATAAAACAATTGGGTCAAAATTCAAACTGACTTTCATTTTTAAGATAGATTTTAAATTCTTTTATGAAAATATTTTAATCCCTTGAAAATACCTAAGCTGACATCATCTTTCACCCGATTCCTTCATCTGTTCACAGATATAAAACCAGCTAATGTGTTCATTACAGCCACTGGAGTGGTCAAACTTGGGGATCTTGGGCTTGGTCGGTTTTTCAGCTCCAAAACCACAGCTGCACATTCTTTAGGTAAGAGACACAATATAATTTCACTCAGTTATCATGTGCATGTGTGCATGTGTGTATGTGTGTGGTGAAAAACAGCACAAGGGATGTACTAATTATATGCCAGCTCTTAATTCTAAAGGCAACTATTTTTAAAATCATCAAATCCTGAGGCAATCCCTATCGCTCTCTAGTAGACATAATGTGTCCATTCACATGACAGTTGGCTCCTTCTCTTAATTTGACCCCAGGTAGACATTTGGGGGAAAAAAATGCTAATAAACAAACTTGGTTTTAATAGTTGCCATGGAGCATTCCTTTCATTCTTCATTTAACCATATTGAGATAATATGGAGATATGATGATGATTAAACCATATCTTGAAAGAGGACTTGATCTGACTATTTAAAAATACCATAGTCATTTGTAAATGTTTATTAAAACAACACGTATAGTTGTGATTACTGCAGAGGGGAAAACCTAAAGACGGTCTACAACTAATGAGGAAAATATTCTCCTAAATTATATAGAAGATATTTGCAGTTTATTCATTCTAGAACTAATAATACGGCAGTGTCCCTTATATCTGAAATAGAACTGAGGGGCACCTGGGTGGCTCAGTTGTTGAGCGTCTGCCTTTGGCTCAGGTCGTCGTCCCAGGATCCTGGGATCGAGCCCCACATCAGGCTCCCAGCTCAGCGGGAAGCCTGCTTCTCCCTCTCCCACTCCCCCTGCTTGTGTTCTCTCTCTCACTGTCTCTCTCTCTGTCAAATAAATCAAGAAAATCTTAAAAAAAATAAAAAAATAAAAAAATAAGATAGAACTGAATGTAGCTATTACAACATTATATGAACTATGGAGAGAAAGTTGTCCACTTCAGAAACAATAGAAATTACTAGGAAAAAATAATTTTTAAATCAAATAACCTAAAGAGAGTGACAGAGCTTCTCTTAAAATTCTTGAAATCACATTTCTTGTAAATATAAAACTTAGATAAAATGGTAACAACCAAAATAAAATAAGAATTATGATAAAAATAAGTTGACTTTAATTTAATGGTGCCGCATCTTCGGTGTCATAATTTCATTGAAAACCATTAATTTTTTTTTTTTTATAAAATTGTGTTTAAATGTGAAATAAAAAACTTTAAAATGGCCTGGTGAAGAATAAGTGAGTTACACTAAATAGTACAGTAGTGAAACGAGCCTCTGAATTGCTTGACTAGACTTTTTTAAGTTTTTCCGACTTTTTAGTAAGACTCTGTGTGACCTTGAACCTGTCATTTAAATTTTTTTATGTCTAGAACAGTATCTGGCACATATGTAGGCACCTGATCACTATCTGCTGAATGACAAAATATTGGATCCTGGGTTGAAGAGTGATAGAAAGATAATACTTTACCCTTTTTGCAGAGTTTTAATTTTGTCAACTATTTTAAGAAAATAAAGTTACAACTGTTGTTGAGTAATACTGTCTTGCTCCCTTTCACTTTACATTTATTTTTAGAGAGCATTACAGATTTTTCTGGTTAAGAAGATTTGATAGGAAATTCTATAAGAAATGCATAAATTTTAGTAGCACTTTCACAAGCTTTATTTGGAAGTTACAACTCTTACAAAGCAAAATAATAGATTTTTATAAAGAAAACGTAGACTATTCCATGTCATTGTCATTTCTCACAGTAAAAGTAACATGCTTTCACTTTGTTACTCACCTGAATGTCTTAACAGCATTCTGTCACTTGTTTACCTAGAAATGCTGTTAACACTTAAGACACACAAACACACACACACACACACACACACACGTCTGCACACACGTGTATTTTTTAAATGCTGCTTTGCAGACTGTCACTCTGAGCATATTGTAGTCACCTGAATTATCCAGCAAATGAAACTAAGATCTTAACAGTTTTGGAAATGGACTTTTTTAGCTTGCCTGCCACTGCCCCGAACAAAAGTTCTAAACAGGGTTGACAAACATGCATCTTCAAGTTTAGGTAATGTGTTTTGACATGGAGAGTAAATTCATTAAGAAATTCTGTAATATCAGGTTTTATCTAAATCAGTTTATTTAGGGTCAGGTGGTTTTTATGTTATATAGGTAAGTATATATGTGTGTGGGTACATAAAATAAATGGGGATGCACATAATTACAAAACATTCTAAGACACTCCCTGTAGCACAGCCAGTGAGGAAGTGGCAATGAGACACTTTCTGTGATGGATGAATCGGTAGAGAAATAATTTCTTTCACAAGTATTTTTTCCCATATTATTTTGAAAAAAAAATCTTAAAATAAAATTTCTTTTATTACTGCTTGTCTTCTCTGCGAAGTGTAGATTTTGATGGTCTGAAACTGAAGTTCAGTAAGCAAACTATAGTGAACATCAAGAATTAAAGATTGAACTCTGGCCTACCATGGCTAGGTGGACCCAGTAGAAAACCTACTTAGAAGGATCGGGAAGAATTGTCTGCTAATCAAGAATATGTATAAAATAACAAGGATATAAAACCTGATGTAGACTTACGGTACTTTTAAAGAATTATTACCCTCATATGTTATTGTCATATATTTTTATTTTTAAGAGCAAATTGTAAAATTACTTCTAAGAGTTGGTTACAAAAAGCAATTGAAAATGTGGCACCTATACAAATTTATTTTGCTTATAGAAAATATGATAAAATTATAGATTTTATTCTGTGATTTGTTTTTTGATTTTACTAAGAATAATATCTGTAGGGCATGATTTATCCCCAGAAAAGGTCTAAATTTTAATGAAACTACAAATAAGTGAGATCTGTATGTAGTTCAGTTTATGTTAAATGAAGTTGATCTTGGAGCCCAATTTCATTTAACTTTGTAAAGAAGATGTTTTTAGGAATTTAGTTCAAAAAGGCAAAAATTAATAGGATTTTAAAAACACCTTGCTACAATTTTACACTTTTATTTTCTTTTTTCCAAAATATACATTACTATTCAGAAATGAAGTAAAGGATACTGTTTTTACTTATTTTGATTCATTAATAGGAACCCACGCTCCAAAATTTTTGTATTTTTAACAATCCTTAAAAGATTGGCAAGCCTTTGAATTTTTCAGTTGTCTATTCATTTTGCATTACTTATTTGTATTATTTAATTTCGTGATAACAAATCAACATGCAATAGAATCTGTAGTTCTCACATTTTCTGTAGCAAATAAAGTTGTACAGGTGGTCACATTTGTAGTGTTTTCAGAACTATTTTTCTTAATTAAAAGTATGTCAACAAGGAATAGGCTTAAAAATTACAAATATAAAATCTGATGTTGCTGGATGTTCAAACTATGTTCAAATCCTCAGCATAGAAAAAAAGATTCTCATAGGCCTTCACTTTTCCTTCTGCTCCCTCCCTGCTCCCACCACATGCTTTGAATCACAATCTCTCTCTTTTCTGTTCCCTCTTCCTAAATCCATAGTGACTTTATGTTTAAACTGGGAAAATATTCTCCCTTGTTTCTAGTATTTTTAAAAAAATCAACTGTATATATTCCCAGCAGAGTTATCTTCCTAAAAGAGAGCATCTGATTATGTCACTTTCCCCCAAATCCTTGATGGTTCCCTGTTGCCTAAAGAATATCATGCAAAGTCCTTAGCTGAGTAGTTGGGGTCCTCTGGAGTTTGATGTCTTCTACTTTCCATTCTTGTCATTGACTACATAGCCCTCCCTCATTATGTGCCAGCCATGTTTTTCTTCTTGCTTTGTTCTGAATGTGAGAAATAGCATGATGTTTTGGAGAAAATGGAAGACATCTGGATTTACATGTCCATTTACTGTAGGACATTGATCAAGCCATTTACTAACTTTTCTGACTTTTCAGTTGCAAATTTATAAAAATAGAAATGTGGATAATAACTATTCTATGTTGTGCCCTAATCTCTAATAATACAATTATCTCTAATAATACATGAACATAAAGGTGTTTTTGTTCACCGTAATGTGCTGTTAATTTGCTTAGGTGAACATGAAGGTGGTGTTGGATGTAGAAAAAGGAAGAGGGGGGAAAAGGAGAAGGAATTTATGTACTGTTTATTGTTCTGTTAGTTTTAGTACCTTTCTTATGCATGTGCTATTCTAGCGACCAGGAACAAGCCCAAACAAGACCAGCCATCTCCATAGATCTTATCTTGTTGGGGGAGGGAATAGGTAATCATCTTATGTCTTCGTTTTTTTATTTGTTAGCCATGTGACAGAGCATGACTAGGAGGAGAATTATGTTACAAGGGACAATGGTCAGATAAGGCCTCGGTGAGGAGGTGATGTTTGAGGTCAGGATGCAGAAGAACCAGCTACACAGGACCTAGGGAACAGTGTCTCAGGCTGACTGAAGGGCAGTTTACACAAAGGGGCACACGCAGGATCAGCTCTGTCTGTAGAAAGTTTGCTGGAGCGGGGTGAAGGAAGGGTCTTAGCCAGATGTGGGAAAATTCACATCTCATTCCAAGTGCCGTAGCGAGCTTCTGCAAGGCAGTAGTTGGAGAGCAACACGATGTGCTGTGAAGACTGCAGCCATGAGCCTCTTCCGTCTCCTTCAGGATAATCATGCCCAGTATTGTCTGCTGTTTTCAGGTTCTTCTGTGTCCGGTGGTTGCCTTCCTTTGTCTCTGAGAGCCTCTTAGGATGTGCTACCCAAAACTGAGCAGAGATACCACATGAACTCATTAGCCCATAGAACAGAAAGTTCGTCACTGCCTGTAATCTAGGATCTAGACAGTTCCTTTGTTTTTGTCCCCCTCCTCCTTTTTTTTTTTTTTGTACATGAATTTATATTAAGTCAGATCTTCATTTAGTGCTTTTGTATTGATTTGGACAGAGGGTGTTGCTAGGGAGACTAATTGTAGGATTATATATATCCCTGTGAATCTTGCCCTTTTTTTTATATTGTCAACCTTATAAATGTTATAGGTGTGTTAGAAAATCATATATATGTATGTATATATGTCAATATCTTAAAATTTAAATGAGGACACATCTGTCTCCCTTGAC